TGAACCTTAAATTTTATTCCGTGGGATCATAGTTTGTGACCTCTAGTTTGAAGAACTGAGAGGTTTAAAATATTTTATCGGTGAAAATATCATTTTTCCATTGTTTTTATATGTTTATTAAGTTTTTATATGTTTATTAAGTTTTTATACGTTTATTAAGTTTTCAAAAATTCTTTTAGATTTTTCTAAAAATAGATTGAAAATCTTAAAGACAACACGTTTTTTCGCTGATTCTGATTCTGATGATACAAAATCTGACAAATCTTCAATGTTGTAACCATGACAACAAAATTGACATAAACAACAATAAGATACATCTAAGACCATCTAAAAACTAATAAGCCAAAACGAAAAAAAGGTCATTTTTTGCAGTTTTTTTTTTTTGTCTAACTGTTTGGCATGGTGGCTTTGTCTTAGAATCAGATGAAATAATTTTTTTTTTACAAAAGCTGTTACGCCCTAATTCCAACTCTATCTAGATATATTAAAGTGACCTGTTGTCCCGCCTAGTGCCAGCTGACTGACTTGATAACGAAACACAACACCTTCATGAATTTTAAATTGGTGTTTGCCGGCATGATAATCCAACATACTTGTGGCGCAGTGGAACCCCGAAAACAGGGGTTCGAAACCAGGAAACTATTCTTTATTTTTTTTTATGTTTGGATAGAATGTTGATGTACTTGCTAAATATAAGAATTATGATTTATTCGGGCCACTCATCATTTCATATTTATGTACATTTAATTTTGTTACTAATAAAGACTTGTGCGGATTGCTTCATGTGGCTTGAAAGTTCTGCCGGAACTTTATTTGAACTTTATGGAACTTGAAAGTTCTGTCAGCCCTTTATTTGAACTTTATGGAACATGAAAGTTCTGTCGGGACTTTATTTGAACTTTATGGAACTTGAAAGTTCTGTCAGGCCTTTATTTGAACTTTATGGAACTTGGAAATTGGGGCCTCCCTTAGCTCAGTCGGTAAAAGCACAGTTACAAAGCAAGACCATGCTGGAGGTGGCTGGGTTCGAGTCCCGGTCCGGTCTAAGAATTTTTCAGGTTGGCAAATTTCTCGACTTCTCTGGGCATAATAGAGTATGATTTTGCCACACAATTATACTAATGGAAAAACTGTACAGGCATCGAAGGCTCTCAATTAATAACTGTGGAAGTGCATCTAGAACACTAAGTTGAGAGCACGCAATAAGCTAAAATGCGATAAGCATTAAGCTTGAAATGCGAAGAAGATGCAGACGAAGAGGAAGAGGAAGAAGAAGAAGAAGAAGAAGAAGAAGAATAAGCAACTTCGGAGTGATTTGAATAGTTGAATTCGGAACTTTTGGTTACTTGGGTAATAATTTAAAAAAAAAACAGAATGCAATTGGAAAGCTAAGTAAAAACCAGTAACAATGTAAATATTCAATTTTTATCTATGAAATATTTCAAACCACAAAGGTTATGAAACAAGAGGTCCCAAAATATGATCGCACGCAATAACATTGTCGGTATAATCACTTTTTATAAAAGTTACCTTTAAACATAGCATGTGACATTACTGACAGGGCGGCCACTGACTCGAAACGACCAGGAAACACTAGGAAATAATCAGGAGATTCATTGGAATCTTAGGGACCTGCCCTAGCTCAGTCGTTAAAGGTGTAGGTTAAAGCATAGCCATGCTGGAGGCAACTGGGTTCAATTCCCAATCCGGTCTAGGATTTTTTTAGATTAAAACATTTCTCGACTTCCCTGGGCATAGAGTATGATCAACTGGTGGAAACAACGATTTTAAATTGGCTCACTACTTGACTAGCCTTATTGGTTCCAAGCAAATCGATTAACGTACTCCATTCTAGTCGAAATTCTAGTACTACACTATGTTTGTTTTGATTCGCTATGAAAGTTTGACAGATAAAATGAGGGGTTTGTGGATTTTCCTATGTTTCGGAGGATGCATCGATTAGCTTGGGACCGAAGAGAGTACCAGAGCTGAGCCAAAAAGTTGAGCACGTTTCTTCGGGACCTTGTAGTCTTATAGTTACCTCTATGGTATGATTCACTATGGACTATTTTTTTAAATCTCTTCGGAGCTACCTCCAATTCACGTTTTTCAGAGTTGCCGCCATGCAAAAGTTTTTTTTTTTTGTAGCATCCTTGGCTATCATAGTGAGCTTGAACTCTCAAATTTCCAGACAAAGTGTAATTTTGTACACGCAATAAAACCACAAACGAAGTGACAGACGGAGCGGCTCGAAAACTTTGGTGACGCACCTGCTAATGCAATTTTTCAGTGTACCACATGGCAACACCACTACTACTGGATTGTGCCACATGGCAACACCAGTAATGGATTGTACCACATGGCAACACTAAATGTACTAGAATGTTTTGGTTCTATCTCTTTCACTCTACTCTAAACTGAAATGCATAAAAACAAATGACAAAATGATACACTCTTTGCACACTGTCAAAGATCATATTGCACACAAAATCAACTATGTTCAAATCAAAACAAAAATACTAGCCCATCTAGTGGCTGATGGAACAAGCTTCTTAGAAAATTCTATTACAGCGAACCACATTATTTTAATTGATTTCTTCGCCAGTTAGTCGTCTGTCACTTCGTTTGTGATAAAACTATCCTTTAAATAAAAATATTTGAGGTAAATATAAACATAAACTTAGTTTGCTCTGGCCACAAAAATAAACTAGTTTGATTCAAACGTAATAAATCTAAATCTCAATTTAAGAAGCGAATAAATCTACGAAAAATCAATCTACTCGCATCGCTCTCCACCTTTTCGCAGGAAATCTTCAAACTCTTCATCAATCTTCCTTCTATCTTATAAGTGAGCGAGCATCTCACAACAGCAAAGAAAAATGGGGTCTGCATCTTATAAAGAGTCGCTCCCCTCGATTTTTTGTTAAAGTCATGTGACAACAATGTTTAAAATAAAAATTATTCTACGTTTATTTTTTAAATAAAAAAATCATGTTGAGAATAAACGTAAATATTTTTGATTGATTTGGCTGCTTTGTAAACAAAAATAAATATTTTGTATTTTAAACATGATTTTCCAGTTTATTGTAAACGTATTTTATGTTTAGAAAAAAAAAATTTAATTTATTATTGAAAATTGTTTTCGAATGCGCAATAAAACGAATAAAAGTGGCCAATTAGAATAAATCATATTGGTGTCTTCGATACATTCAAATCCAGATATAAATACGTTGCAGACACTTAGATGATTCACTTTAATCATGTAATTTAATTTGCATTATCGTCATCGCATGATCCGGATGTAATCACATCCGTATTCAGAAGTGACGCGATGGCATTTGTCCAATCCACCTTTCCATTGTCCGTCTTTCCATAGGTAAACTTAACAATACTATGGGGATTTTTCAGACATGCAGGATCTTCCACAATCACGTCCAGACACGTATAGAGCAATCGCTTCCGCCGGAAGAAATGCAGCGTTTTCGAGATCAATGCTGGTAACGGGCGTTGTCTTTGTATAATGTCTCCTCTCATGTAGGGACCAGCCCTATCTTTCGTACACAAATGTATCTGATGGAAATTCTTCCGGAAAACCACCCCGGTAGCAGCGTGTACATATTCACTTAAGCTATTTAGAGTATTCGCCAGCTCCAGTGTCGCTCTGTCCAGCTCTTGATTTCATCGGCCACTGCCAAAAACTTCAGATCCTGCAAAATGGCCAGCAAAAGAACTATCGCCTTCTAGGCCGTTCTCGCTTTGCCAGGTCCCACCGGACAATGATTCCAGTCTTATTCGTCACGTACAGAAACCGATCATCGTCAGTCAAACACAGAAACGTCGGCGACAGATCCTGTCAAATGCAAAATGATTTCGATATTGTTGTAATAAACATGCTTTTCAATTTAATTCTAACATCACTAGGGTTAACCACCCCACTTCCGGTCTATTGAGCACAACCCGCTCTTAGTCTTTCTTAATCTAGCGCAGTTTAGCATCAAACGGAGTTTTATTATCACTGATGGCTTCCAAATTTACTTACCTTTCCGTATGCACCATAAGATTTGATAAAGAGAAACCAATCGTTGAGATATTCTCAAAAGTCTAACACTGCTTCTGGACGCCATACTCGGCTTATGGATTCTAAACTCGGCCTAACGCATTGAAACGCCATTGAAACGCCAATGAATTCACTTCGGCCTATCAGATGAAGATAAAAATTGATTCGGTCGGAGCGCTTCTTCTGTTTTTGGGAATAATGGGTGCAAACCTTCATATCACGCGTTCTCATTGACTTCGTTCGGTAGCTTATTAACTAAAGTATCGTACCAAACGCATAATAGACTTGTTAACTCTGAAATCATGGATTTGTTTGAAGTTTTCTGTTCGATAGGCCCAAAATGGGCGATTAGGACGAAGTAGTTCTCTACCCTATTTAAGTTTTAAACCTGTTTTCAATTTACTTTGAATAATTAATACATTTAAAGTATAAACATTTCTATTTTTGATTAATATAAACACAATTCGTATCCGCGTAGTGCATATTAATGGGATTCATTTTTAATTTGAACTTCTAGTAACAAAAAGGCGTGTTTATGGTAGCCTTATTTGCTGGTTTGTTTTGATTCTGCGCTCCATTTCGCATCGTTCCATATAGCTTTAGTCCATTCCATGAGCGAAATGACGTTTGAACAATTTTTAGTTTGCACGGCGACCAAATTAGCGGGGTTCAAAGTAAAACGGGTTCAGATTAAAAACGGTTAGACTACCGGAGGTTCACGGTACAATGTTGACATCCTTCAAAGGAAATATGAGGATCATATTTAAATTCAATTTAGAGACACGAATTTCGGAAAGCTTTCGAATAGTATAAAGCAAGTAAAACAGATCTCTTGAATTCATAAAATAATTTATTTTCATGAAAATAAACCATAACAATTTAACAGCTAAAGCACATATACTATCCTACAATTCCGTAATCACCCAAGCTCCTAATTCAGTCTTCTTCATTCAAACTAAGAAATTAATCTATTCAGTCGACCTCCTCAACGGTGGGTCCCGTTCGGCCTCCGAAGCCTCCCGCCTGTTGGCCACAGCTCGAGGCTCCTGCCGATGATCCTGCGCCCTGATGCAACCGAGTCATAATTGGACTGCACACTCGACTCAGTTCCTGCATTTTGTGGTCGAATTCGTCCTTCTCGGCCATCGTATTTCCATCCAACCAACGAAGGATCTCATCACACTTGTCCTTCACAGTGTTCTTGTCCGACTCGCTCAATTTGTCACCGGCCGATTCCAGCGACTGTTTCAACTGGAAGCAGTAACTCTCCAATTGATTTCTGGCCGAAACACGTTCCTTCTGCTTCTCGTCCTCCTCGTGGAATCTCTCCGCCTCGGCCAACATTCGATCGATGTCCGCCTGACTCAATCGACCCTTGTCGTTCTTGATTGTGATGTTCTTCTCCTTTCCGGTACTCTTCTCCTTGGCCGATACATTTAGAATACCGTTTGCGTCCAGATCGAATGTGACCTCAATCTGAGGGACGCCTCTCGGAGCTGGTGGAATGCCTGATAGGTCGAACTGACCAAGTCGATTGTTGTCCTTGGTCATAACTCGTTCTCCTTCGAATACCTGGATTGATACTCCCGGCTGGTTGTCCGCGTAAGTCGAGAATATCTGCGTTTGCTTGCATGGAATTCGGCTGTTGCGTTCAACAAGCTTGGTCATCACACCGCCAGCAGTTTCGATTCCTAGAGATAGTGGAGCCACATCTACCAGCAGCACATCCTGAATCTTCTCGTCCTTGTCGCCACTGAGAATGGCAGCTTGAATAGCAGCACCATAAGCCACGGCTTCGTCTGGGTTGATTGACAAGTTCAGAGACTTTCCACAGAAGAAGTTCTGAAGCAATGATTGAACCTTCGGAATGCGTGTTGATCCACCGACTAGTACTATGTCATCGATTGATCTCTTGTCCATTTTGGCATCGGATAGAGCTTTCTCAACTGGTAGCAGTGTAGAACGGAACAAATCAGAGCAGAGTTCCTCGAATCGAGCTCGGGATATTTTCGTGTAATAGTCGATTCCATCGATAAGAGCATCGATTTCAATGGTGGCTTCAGTGCTGGATGACAATGTTCGCTTTGCTCGTTCACATGCCGTTCTCAGACGTCGTAGAGCACGAGGATTGGATGAGATATCTTTCTTGAACTTGCGTTTGAACTCGTCCACGAAGTGTGACACCATTCGATTGTCAAAGTCTTCTCCTCCCAGGTGAGTGTCACCAGCCGTAGATCGAACTTCGAACAGCGATCCCTCGTCGATGGTCAGAATCGAGACATCGAAGGTTCCGCCTCCCAGATCGAAGATCAACACATTTCGCTCACCTTTGAGGTTCTTGTCCAACCCATAAGCCAATGCAGCAGCCGTTGGTTCATTGATGATTCTCATGACATTCAGTCCTGCAATGGCACCAGCATCCTTTGTGGCCTGACGCTGAGAATCGTTGAAATAGGCAGGAACTGTGATGACTGCATTCTTCACGCTTGTTCCCAGGTAAGCCTCAGCCGTTTCCTTCATCTTTGTCAACACCATCGAGCTGATTTCTTCCGGAGCAAACCGTTTCCTCTCGCCTTTGAACTCGACTTCGATCTTCGTTTTGCCACCATCGTTGTACACCGTGAATGGCCAATGTTTGATGTCGGCCTGAATCTTTGGATCATCGAACTTGCGGCCAATCAACCGTTTGGCGTCGAAAACTGTGTTCTTCGGGTTCATCGCCACCTGGTTCTTGGCCGCATCGCCGATCAGCCGTTCCATGTCCGAGAATGCCACATAGCTGGGGGTGGTTCGGTTTCCCTGGTCGTTTGCGATGATTTCCACTTTGCCATGCTGGAACACACCCACGCAGGAGTATGTCGTTCCCAAGTCAATACCGATTGCAGACATTTTTTTCTCTTATACTGTAGTTTTGTAACACTTGATGCAGAATAAATCACTTTTAACTTGATGCACTTGGGATTCACAAATTTGTTCACTTTGAGATTTGAATTTGCTTTGAGTTTTATCGCGCTTTGCTTGTGCTTTGCTCTCTTGCTTGAACAGTTATGAGGAGAGGAGCTCGAATCGGGCGTTTATATAGTGAACCCGTGCAGTTCTAGAAAATTCGAGTGGCTTCCACGAATGTTCGAGCACTTTCATGTGTGTTGCTTCGAATTTGCTAGTGACTTCGCTGTGCTGCATAGGTATGCGTTTCACGAAGAGTCATTACAGTGAAACCAGTGTTGGCACGGATAATAATGACAAGAAATATGCTGGTTATAGTTACCAGGACCATGATGGTTATATATGAAAATTTTATCAGCAAAATGAAGGCAGTGTAAAGAATAATTACTAGTAAAACATGAATCTTCAAAATGTATGAAAACAAAAATACTATTCCAAGGGAACTATTTAAAAGGAGGGTCTACTGTGAATGACGGTTCGTGTTCGTGGTTCGAATATTCAATAACATTCGAGTACGAACGAGGATTGTCGAGTGTGGATGTATCTGATTGGTGTATGGAAAATGAGAAAGTTCTTCCGGAAAATTCTTTGCCTTTAAATTCGATCCTAAAAATTCTTTGCACAAATTCAACACATAAATCAATGTTATATACCAGACAAATGTTTAGGTGAGATTTGATACTGAAGGTAATTTACACAATTCGATCAAACCTTTTCTAAATAATGTTCTAGTGAGAAATATTGATCTCATCATTGAATTCAACTGAACATTGGCTGCCTTGATGATTTTGCTGTATTCTGTCGACAATATAAAAGCCTGTCGAAATGATTCAAGGAATATAGGTTTTCAGTTAATACATCAGTTTTATTGTATTGATTTTATGGAACAATTATGGTTTATACTTTCAGATAGAATTTGAATCCAATCATACGACAGTAGAAACTTAAATTATGTTTAAAAGAGAATAAATTAGGAGGTATTTCGTAGTTCAGGTGACGGTTATAATCCTAAAACAAACATCGTGGTTGGGTTTTGATTCACATTGGAACATGTGAACACACGGATCATTCCAATATCACTATTTCACCTGCTTTAAATCCTGCAGGTAAAAATAAGTACTCAATCATATTTTGGCAATGGCAATAATTATTAAATATTGAGCTTCCTAATGTTTTCTAGATCTTGACTTCATTAAAGTCGCTTGCCAGTACAGTTTTAAAGCTGCTACTTGCTTCAAATATGTAGATTGTTTTATTTTTTCTACTGTACGAAACTAATACTGTGCAATTTTTTTTGCACAAGAGTTTAAAGTGGTGCAAAATGCGCAAAAAAAAAAATGATAAACTGTGTATCGCAAAATTGAGCGTACGCCCTAGCGGAATATTTTTTTAATCATGCTGAATGGATATTTTTTTAAATCTTGGCTGGTGGTTGAACAGATGTTTATTGATTTATCGTTTTAGTTTTGGACTGGAATAACTTGTATGGAGTTAGACTTATTTCAGTAAAACGCACAGTTTTCAACTTTTTACCTAGTGGACGAATTTTAATAAAATTAGAGGAATATGAGTGATCTATATTATGACTAAAATTGAGCAAAATTTCCAAAATGCTCAGTTCATTATATATCAAGATATTAAGGTTTTTCAAGGAAAAGGCGTTTTCCTCAAGTAGCTCTTACTTTTAATACACGCAACGAAATAAGCCCAAAACTTTACAAATAATTGATAAATTTATGATGATTCTGCAGCCAGAAATTCAGAAACGTATCTCTTTAAATTGTGCTATAAAAATTGTTTATTCTAAATTGACATGTGTACGCCCGCATAAACGCGAACCATCACATGACCTTACCGATAATGGTTATAAATTGTTTATAATCCCTGCTAAACTTCAACTGAAATGGTTATGGAACCTTACATGAACGTTTGTGTGATAAAGTTTTAACCTTATGTGTTATGGTTTTTTGGAAGCGGACCTTACAAATAATGGGTTGTTAAGAACCATTACCATTCCAAATTCTTGTTTTCTCCATACATTTTCGGAAAGAGAACTATATTAGAACGTTTTTACTTATGGTTTGAGAACATTAATGGTTATGGTTATGGTAGTCAGTAAGGTCCATTAATGGTTTTGTATTATCGCTCAACTTTACGTGAAATATATCGTGAATTGGTAATCAGTAATTTACAGGCAACCAATTCGCGATATATTCCACATAAAGTTGATCGATGTTACAAAACCATTCATGGACCTTACTGGTTACCATAACCATTACCATTAATGTTCTTAAACCATAAGTTAAAAGGTTTTAGTAAAGTTTTCTTTCCGAAAATGTATGGAGAAAACAAGAATTTGGAATGGTAATGGTTCTTAACAACCCATTATTTGTAAGGTCCACTTCCAAAAAACTATAATACTTAAGGTTAAAACTTTATCATTAAACGTTCATGTAAAGTTCCATAACCATTTCAGTTGAAGTTTAGCAGGGATTATAAACAATTTATAACCATTATCGGTAAGGTCAATTTATGGTTCGCGCTTATGCGGGCGCTCAATTTTGAAACACACTTTAATTTGTTAAAATGGTATTTTTTTAAATTTTAAATGGAATGATAAATGCAGGAAACTTAATTTTTTTTTTATCTCCTTAATGTTGGTTTTCCAACATCTATGACATTTTCCTTCTTTCTGATGCAATCGTCATTATGATGAATAAATTGCATACACTGAATCCAGAAGAGAGAGTAAAACTGCTTTGTTGGCTTTTATTGTTGATATTACATGAAATGGATATATCATCGTTATGATCAAGCTCCTATTAAAATACCAATCAGGCAATGTTGTTCAAATTAATCGAAATTATTCTCCTCTCTTCTCAAGTCGTCAAGGCATAGTTTCCAATGTTGACCTAAAAATACCAATCATAAGTTCGAATAGAAGCTGTATATTACTCAACAGGCAGATTCAATTTTCTCTTATTTTGTATATTGGCCGCAAATATATCCAGGTTTCTCTTCTCGACCAATCCATCAACTAGCAAAAATAACTCATGATTCATAATAGCAGTGCTGAAATCTATTGCACGTTTAAAATATGTTCCAGAATATTTATGCTTCTATGGCGAATCAAAACAAAACAAATATGATGGCGCAGTCGTAGAAAATACACATACAACCTTACAAGAAAGTACGAGAAAAATTTGCACCACTGTTCATTACTTTCCTCGTCTTCCCTTCTCACATGGTTGATCGAATGAACGTCTTCGTTTGTACAGTGGCACGCCAATTAGAGTGTGTAATTATTTCAGTGTTTAATATTCACCATCTACTGCAATGACACGATTTTATCAGCCTCTTTCGCATCAATATGCACATTAATTTATTCTTCGTTTTCATTAACATTAGTATCGATAATGCGTCGCATGACTTTTGGTTCATAGGTAAATGTTATGCCAGCACAGAGAATACACTTTGTGGACGCAATTACTTACCCGCGAAAATTGCAATTGTTTTGGAGAACTAACTCTAAGTTCAATAATCTTACTCTGTTTAATTATTGATCAACTTTTGTTTCCACTTAATAAGTAAACATTATGCATAGATATTCAGCTTATAATTTATTTGAAAAAGGTACATGAGCATTACGCATAGATTTGAATTTCAGACATAATTATCCGTGCCAACACTAGTATCACTATAATGACTCTTCGTGAAACGCATACCTATGCATCACAGCGAAGTCACTAGCAAATTCGAAGCAACACACATGAAAGTGCTCGAACATTCGTGGAAGCCACTCGAATTTTCTAGAACTGCACGAGTTCACTATATAAACCCCCGATTCGAGCTCCTCTCTTCATAAATGTTCAAGCAAGAGAGCAAATCACAAGCAAAGCGCGATAAAACTCAAAGCAAATTCAAATCTCAAAGTGAACAAATTTGTGAATCCCAAGTGCATCAAGTTAAAAGTGATTTATTCTGCATCAAGTGTTACAAAACTACAGTGTAAGAGTAAAAATGTCTGCAATCGGTATTGACTTGGGAACGACATACTCCTGCGTGGGTGTGTTTCAGCATGGCAAAGTGGAAATCATCGCAAACGACCAAGGAAACCGAACCACCCCCAGCTATGTGGCATTCTCGGACACGGAACGGCTGATCGGCGATGCGGCCAAGAACCAGGTGGCGATGAACCCGAAGAACACAGTTTTCGACGCCAAACGGTTGATTGGCCGCAAGTTCGATGATCCAAAGATTCAGGCCGACATCAAACATTGGCCATTCACGGTGTACAACGATGGTGGCAAAACGAAGATCGAAGTCGAGTTCAAAGGCGAGAGGAAACGGTTTGCTCCGGAAGAAATCAGCTCGATGGTGTTGACAAAGATGAAGGAAACGGCTGAGGCTTACCTGGGAACAAGCGTGAAGAATGCAGTCATCACAGTTCCTGCCTATTTCAACGATTCTCAGCGTCAGGCCACGAAGGATGCTGGTGCCATTGCAGGACTGAATGTCATGAGAATCATCAATGAACCGACGGCTGCTGCATTGGCTTATGGGTTGGACAAGAACCTCAAAGGTGAGCGAAATGTGTTGATCTTCGATCTGGGAGGCGGAACCTTTGATGTCTCGATTCTGACCATCGACGAGGGATCGCTGTTTGAAGTTCGATCTACGGCTGGTGACACTCACCTGGGAGGAGAAGACTTTGACAATCGAATGGTGTCACACTTCGTGGACGAGTTCAAACGCAAGTTAAAGAAAGATATCTCATCCAATCCTCGTGCTCTACGACGTCTGAGAACGGCATGTGAACGAGCAAAGCGAACATTGTCATCCAGCACTGAAGCCACCATTGAAATCGATGCTCTCATCGATGGAATCGACTATTACACGAAAATATCCCGAGCTCGATTCGAGGAACTCTGCTCTGATTTGTTCCGTTCTACACTGCTACCAGTTGAGAAAGCTCTATCTGATGCCAAAATGGACAAGAGATCAATCGATGACATAGTACTAGTCGGTGGATCAACACGCATTCCAAAGGTCCAATCATTGCTT